CTAGTAGGGTGGAGGCCATCGCTTCTAGGCTGGAGGCCATCGCTTCTTGTTTGGAGGCCTTTGCTAGTAGGTTGGGGGTTGGAGGCCATCGCTAGTAGGTTGGAGGCCATCGCTAGTAAGGTGGAGGCCATCGCTAGTAGGTTGGAAGCCATCGCTATTAGGTTGGAGGCCATCGCTATTAGGTTCGAGGCCATCGCTATTACGTTGGAGGCCATCGCTAGTAGCCACCTAGGCTCAGGCCTCCCGGCGCGTTCGGTCGCGCCCCGGCGGTGGTGGAGCACCTGTGGAAGGTGTACCAGCTGGGTCCTGTCATGGCCATGGATGAGAGGTTTCCTCCTGCCGCTGCGAGGGAGGTGTTGTCCGCCTATGGTTTGTGGGGCGATGCTGGAGGGTGGCTTTGTGAGCGACCTTCTTTGCTGGTTGATAATCTGGCCTTGAAGAAGTTTGACGACCTGTTTCTGTTTGAGGCAGACCACTTGACTGCCAGTGGAAGAGGTTTGCGATACATCGATGCTGAAAGTGTCTGGGTTGGACCTGATGACAAAATGCCACAGTCCATTATCTTTGATTGGAAAGCTGCTGACAAGAGCTCCCTTCACAACATGTGCATTCAAGGCATTGATGGCAAGTGCATGATCTGGAACGCTGCACTGAATTTCCCTGGCCCGGACACTAGAGGATACTTGTCTATTGACAACCAGACTTTGGTGCTCCCTCTCAAGAAGGCTGATGTTGGGCCGATCCATATCCTGCATTTGTTTGGAGGCTCGTTCGGTGGATGGACATTCGCCACACAGCTGTTGAATGAGATGGAGGTAGACATCGTGTCAGGCGCCATTGAAGTTGACTTCAAAGCTGCACGAAGCTACGCCTTGTCACATAGATGTCCTCTCTTGTCAGCTGAGCAGGAACTCCCTCCTATGGCACTTCACTCCTTCAAAGAAGGCTGGTGTATTCATGGAGATATCATGGACACTAACTGGATGCAGGCGGTTGCATGTTGGGCACCGGAGGTGATCACGATTAGTGCCCCGTGTCCTCCTTGGAGTGGTGCATCCTCTCAGAAAGGTCTGCACACCACTGAAGGGCAATTGTTCATGAGAAGCATTGGTCTGTGCAAACTTCTCCGCCCCAAGATCATCCTGATCGAACAGGTGGCTGGATTTCACTCTCACCCTCATCGCATGTGGATTGAGAAGGCCCTCTGGTTCTCGGGGTATCAGCTCAGATTCTCGAGAGTTATCGATTTGGGCGATGTCATGCCTGTCCGACGACTTCGATGGCTTGGAGTTGCTTATTTCATCCATGAAGAAGGTTTGCAAATGACTTCCATCTCGTCATGGTCAATTGCAAGGAAGATCTCAGTGATGGAACTTGATTGCCTCCGCTCTTGGCCTCAAGAGGTGCTCGACCAGCTAGCGGTGCCTGACGCGGCTTTACGACAGGCCAGAGAACATCCGTTGGATCGAAGTACCAAGCGCCAGAAACGGGAAACTGCTGAGGACGCTTATGAATCACATATCTTCCGTGCCACGAGCTGTAGTCTGCCCACTTTCATGGCCCAATATGGAAAGCAGCACCAGTTGAATCCAGACCTCTTGGATAGCAAGGGCTATTTTGCACATTGGTTCCAACCGGCTGAATCTGATATCCTTCGGTTTTGGCATCCTCTTGAGGTAGCCCTCATTCATGGAGCTTGGAGTGGCATCTGGATGGGGCATGACCTGCACCTGGAGTGGAAGGGTTTGGGAAACCAGATCGCTATCCCGCATGCACTTTGGCTCTTAGTTCAGGGAATCAACATGCTGGAATCTCGGGATTACCGCCTTTCCTGGGAGGATGTTTGGGGGTACTTTGATGGTCATCGACTCAAGGCCTCCCAACTCCATGCTGAGATTTATCCCTCGGGCACAATGTGGATGGACCATTCTGCACGATTCCTGTTGCATGAGGACCTCATTCAGCAGCTATTCCGGGTGGGCTCTGACCATTTGCCAAGCAACACATTCTGGACCCCGGAGCTGGGTATTACACCGCTGCAAGGTTTCTTGCATGATCGAGATCCAGTTCTGGAGATTCCATGTCTGAAGCCGTGGACGCCCCATGCCATTCAGGTCACTCAGCATGAATCACTTGAACAGACTCTGCCCATCCGGGTTTTGCTCAGGTGCCGGATTCTGTTTGAGGGCATTACGAAGATGTTTCAGGTGGAGCAAAACACTCCTTTGGCGGCTTTGCAGGCACTGTGGAAATCTTCACTGAGGCATGAATCTGAGTCTGAACAGCTGGAAGACCAGGATCGTTTCTTCCCTCTCGCGGAACCAGCAAGGGATTGCCAGGGAGACAGTGGGGGCTGGTGCATTCCGGTCATGCAGCAAGCTGATGTTGACATGAGATTCGTACCCAAGGAAGAGTTGGTCCAGTCCCTCTTTTCCAGTGAGGAGCAGGAGCGATTGTGGCACGATCAATTTGATTTGGTCCCTCTTCGCTCACACATCATTCCGGAGATGGTGCTGTCCCTTCATGGTTGGAGCCATGCAAGACTCAGTCTGACAAGCCAACAGATTCTGCAAGAAGCTACTGCTGTCAATTGTGCCTATCATTGGAGGCATGCGGATGACGCACACATTATCCATGGGGTGGGTGAGCACCAGAGTTGTGCTATCTGGGCTACTCTATGGGAAGAAGCCCTCACCACCGAGGGACGAGCCACTTTCAATCTTCAGACCTCTTCTTCAGTTCAGGAGGGATCTTTCATGATCAAGGCACAACTCCGATCGATGGTACCCCTTCCTCCTGCTCAGTTCATGTTATGGTGGGCTGTCCGGGCTGTGAGAAGCACTTTGGATTGCATCAAGGTCTCGGAGGGAGTGTTTGTGGCTCTGAAATGGCGCAAGAGATTACTGTGGGAAGGGCATCTCGCGCCTGAGCTGGGCTTTGATCAGCTTTTGGCACTGCTTCAACAATTGTGGAACCCTGTTGTTGATTCGGAGGAACTGCGGTTGATTCATGGGTTCTCTGCTTCGCGCATTTTGCCAGAGCAGAAGTTGGGGCATCTTCGCCATATGGATCAGCGTGGCCATGCTTATGTCCTCCACATTCTCACCCGGATTCAGGGTGGGGGCAGCGGTGGAAAAAACCCTGAAACTGTTGCTGTCAAGAACGAGATTGCCAGCATCCTACTGGATTTGCAATACGACATTGCATGGGTTTCCAAGACTGTTGACACCCTTTTCCGGCACATTGGCTTTAATGCTGCTGCAGCCTTCCTTCGTGGTAATGATGGCTCAAAAGGGAGGGGGATTCTGCAGGCCATCGAAAGTGTTGGTGTTGATCTTCCTCGCAAGAGATCAGGGGCCCAGGATTCGCAGAGCTCTTCCAGGCTGGCTCAGGTTCAGAAGAAAAGGGCACCCCAGATCGATCTTTCTGGTGTCACCATCATGAAGGGATTCATTGTCAATGAAGATGGCTCTGAGGCTACACAGATGCAATCCTTTGTGCCACAATCCTCTGGAGTGATGTTGGCTCATTTGGAGCAAGCTCTTCCCTGGATCCGAGAGAATGTGGTGCTTTCTAAGGATGAATTGGGC